GCAATGGAAAGACGTTTTAGGCTTTGTTGCAGAACATAGATATGCAAAATTAACACCGGAAGAGGCTCATAAAGCTGTCAGAATATGTTCTGGTCATTTTGATGAAAACTCATTTACTTTATCCAGAAAACGTTTATCAAAAACTGCTATTCCATCGAAGTTACTACCAGAACCTAATGGTAAGTGCCCTTAACGATGATTTTATGCTATAATATTAATTAAGTAACAATAATTGTTAAGATTATCCTACAATCAATTTAATTTATTGAATTTATGTCATCATTTGAAGTTATAATTATGTGAATTAGTATTTCTTATAATTCTCATACTTCTTAGGACACAATCGTCAAAGAGTTGAAACTGGAGGCCCTTCCAAGATTTTCATTGACAGACAAACCCAAACTGAACATATTGAAGGTAAATTATATCTAAAGTCTGTTTTTTTTTAAAGATAATTCTTCAAGTCAAAAATTTAGTAACTATGTTGGCAACACAAGCCTTTTCTACATAAAAAATTTGGAACAATTGACAATTTTACATTGTATTGCCAACATAATGTCATTTTGGTTTTTATCTTGAGAAAAAATAAAAAATACTTTCTGTCTATAACGGCAAAAATATAAACAATTAGGCGATTTGATGTTTGACGTACTGTTAATATTTAGGCCTTTCTGCCTACTTAGGGTCCGTTCTGTACCTGCCCAGGTAATTTGATGGAAGTTTCCAAGTAACTCGGTTTTAACTACATTCAAGAAAATTTAAACAAATTAAAATTACATTAAAATTCAGCAAATTAAAATTTGAAACAGGTAGAAATAACACACATTTCTATGGAGTCAACTTTTGTATTTGTTACGTGGTTCGAATCGCCTAATTATTGCAATTTTTTATATCAAGTCTTACTTTAAAAAAACATAAATTTTTTAGCGCCAACTCCTGACGTGAAAACCCAAAGTGGCTTCCTGCAAGAATTGGTGGAAGGTAAGACATACTCTATTGGATAGGTATAAACTATAATGCCCGTATTACATTTGTGTATTTTTCCGTGTATTTATTCATGTAGTTCAGGGTGCCAACATTATTTTGTTTTTCATAATGCTGATTTAGGTTGCGTTTGAAGCTTTTCGGTTGTCACCTTGAACTACATGAATAAATATACGGAAAAATACACAGATGTAATACGGGCATTATTAAACAAACCATGAAAATGTTTTTTTCCCTATGATAATAATTATGAATTAGCCAATGTTTTCATTTATTTTATGGTCAATAAGTGACAAAAGATTTTCAAAATGGCATTTTTTTGCAGATGTGTCATGTCAGACTCCTTCCCATTTATCCCAAAATACTCCTAGGAAAGAAGGCCTAAAAAGAAAAATAGCGGAATTACAAAGTAATCTTAAATCTTCTAAAAAACCGACCGAGACATCCCTCTCAGATGTTCTAAGATTTTTGGAAGAACATTATCCACAGGAATCCACAATGTTGATAAGAAGCCAGTTATTACTTTTAGACAAAACACCGAAAGGAAGCAGGTATACAAATGAATTCAAGCAATTTGCTTTAGTTATATATTTGCTAGGACCTAAAGCATATACCAAATTATCTAAGGTAATACGACTGCCATCACCGAGCACTCTGAAAAGAATAACCCAACATTGGAGAATTTACGCAGGGTTTAATGAATTTATTTTCAAAATTCTAGAACTAAGAGTTCCGTTTATGTCTGAAAATTCAAAAGATTGCATAATATGTATTGACGAAATGTCCATTAAATCAAATTTGTTTTATAACATTTCCAGAGATCACATAATAGGCTTTGAAGAACTTCGTAATAAAAGATCCACAGACATCGCCACAAGTGCTTTGGTAATTATGGCAAGAGGAATATCTCACAGTTGGAAACAACCTATTTCGTATTTTTTCACAAAAAATTCCACAAGTGTTGTAGATTTGAAAGAAATGATATTCGAGGCAATACGAAAACTCAAAAACATAGGATTGAACGTTCTCGCCGTAACATCGGATCAGGGTCCAAACTTTTTCAAATTAGTAAAATCATGTCTCAAATTAACAGTTGAAAACCCATATTTTTTTGTTGATGATATTCCCATTTTTTATATATTCGATGTTCCACATTTGTTAAAGTCAACAAGAAATAATTTTTTTTCTTATAATTTTCATTTAAATGAGGGTGTTACTGATAAATGTTATTTAGAAACATTGTATAACCTTGATAAGGCAAAACAATTTCGGCTAGCACCAAGGCTAACTGATCACCATTTGAATCCAAATGATTTTAAGAAAATGAGGGTCAAATTTGCGTCTCAAGTGTTTAGCAAAATATCAGAAGAGGCCAAGACAACCGCAAACTTTATCAATGATATGAATAAATTATTTGACATTTTAAATTCAAGCACTTTAGAATCGTATCAAGCTTTCATGGGAACTGCAAAACAATTTGAATTTTTGAATAAAATGGATAACCTGTTTTCAACTTTAAAAGTCGTGCAAAAAAAAAAGGGTAAAAACAATGAAGAAATAGACAAAAACATGACCAAAAGCCTTAGATTTAATTATGGCTGGAGGCTAACTATTTCTTCAACCCTAAAATTATGGGAAGTGTTACGAAGAAAAAATTATAAATTTCTATTGACACGTAACTTAAATCAAGATTGCCTGGAAAATTATTTCGGTCAAATTAGGAATGCTTGTGGAAACGCCAGAAATCCCACTCCGATCCAGTTCAGTAGAGCATTCAAAAAATTGTTTGCTTTGAGATATTGCGATGAAAAAGAAGGTTCCAACTGTTTAGAGGATGCTAATGATATTTTGCTTACCATAACACCAGATTTATTACAAAAATGCGAATTTTTGAATCAAACAAAAAAAAATAGTCAGCAAATTTTAAACATACAAAGCAATGACTATCAAAATTTATTTACAGATGAAGGCAACGCACTAGTCTATGTAGGTGGATACTTATTACGAAAGTGTCTTTTAAAGCATAAATGTGACATTTGCGTAGGTTTTTGCAATACTGACAATTCTGACACATCCACAGTATTTTGCGAAAAAAAAGCCTACGAGGGTAGTCAGGGGCGGTTTGGGGGATTAACAGTACCGCCAAAAAACTTCACTAAATATGTAATATCGATGGAAAATATTTTCGAGGATAATTTTAATAAGCTTTGTACGCAGGATGGCATAGGAGTTAACTTAAAAAAGGAGTTTTCCGCTATACCATTTGCACACCCTTGTCCAAATTTTCCACAAGAATACCTGGTGTCATTATATACAAGAGTAAGGATTTATTATACCCTGAAATTCGCAAATATAGAATTAAGATCCCAAAGACAAAATAAAGAAAACCCAAAATTGACAATATTAAAAAATTTATAGTTGGTAAATGTTTCAATTTGGAATTCAATTTAAAAGACATTTCACTATTTCTAGGTTTATGTATATAATATTTTGTAAGTTGTTTATATTAGTATCAAAGTATCTTATTTTATTTCGTTACACGTTACGTTATGTATTGTATAAATATTTATATTGTTCCTATTTAGTTTTAGTACTTAAATAATCTTAATTTAAATTGAATTGCAATATTCTTCGGTGCATAATTTGATTTATAGCAGGTGTCAGAAACACCACAACAATGCGTACCTTTATATTTATCTCCAATAATTATTTGAACTGAATAATAAAACTAGCTGGATAGGGTTTCTTACCTAAAATTAATCAATTTTTTTCATTGTCTGCAAAGTAGACATATTATATGAGTTAATAACTACCCCGTGTATTCCCATTGTGTTCATGGCCGAGCTTTTGCAAAACGTCCCAGGTAGTTAAAAGGAGTCAACCGTTTATTGTGAAAAATATTTGACCCAATTTTTATTTGAATGTACCACCTAATAATAATCTAGGTATAATTTGTATTTAAGAATATTTTTATCGGTTCAGTTTTCCTTTTGCTTAGCACATAATAAATAAGGTTCAAAAACTAGTTCCATATGTGTTTAATTTGGGTACCTAGCGAAAACCAAAAAAATATTAACGTAAATATTCTTAACATATTCTTTTTCGAACGCCCCCTGTAAAAACAAAAGCAAATAAAGTCGGGACCAGGGCCCTCGTATTTGCTTCTTATCTACAAATCGGCGCGTGCTGACATGATTTACGACCATCCGCAAAAAAAGCCGGCTTTTTGAGGAGATCAAAGAAGTGACCCGACGCACCAAGAAGTCGGAGGGAATGAAATGGAGGACCAACTTGCAAGACAAGGAGCGGCAAGACCATTGCCAGTACCTTTCTTTGGCAACACGAAAAGCCATATAAGGTCCAGAATTGGGTGAAGGCTCAACAACCCTCCCGCTGGAACACGCTTCTAGGACTAAGACAGGCGAAATAATTCATCTCGCCCGTCAATAAAGGCAAAGGAAATGATTGACTTTAGTAAAGCGTATCTAAGGCTGCTTAACAGGCCTGCTTACGGGGGGTCACTGCCATCTGGGTTACCACTGGAACAGATGGGCAAAACAAAATCAGACCTATGCCGCTTCTGTGAAGAAGCCTCTGAGTCTACAGAACATACTTTGAAACTGTGAGGCATTGTGCCGCAGAAGACTTATTCATCTGAAGCAGCCCTACTTAACGGCTGTGGATGGTGTGCCAATTCCAGAAACATTTTAAGCTTTGCCAAAATCCCTAATCTGGGAACCCACTAGATACCTATAATGGGAAGCACAATAGATCTAATCAGGTCGCAGTGCGAAGAAGTTCATAACCTAAACACCATCTACATAAATAATCTACAGCCAAAAAAGTAATGTCCCAAATTCAAAATTTATTGGCCTCTAAAACAGATACTTATTACTTATGTATTTTTTTAATTGCTGATAGACCAACCATATATTAAACAGTTTTTTTTTTTATAAATCGATGAATTTTTAATTAGGGACATTACTATATTGACTGACTATTGATTGATTACTTACTTATCGTAGCTACATTCCCAAATGTATTATTCTTCTCAGGAAAAGTCGTACAGTTCCATCGGCTATACGAAAACTGATTCTGACACTCTTCTATCGCTAACTTGGCCCCGTTCGCTATTATCTAGAATAAAAAACATCTGTTACGAAAATTAGATAACTTTTTAAAATTATTTAATATTATATCAGGCAAAGTTCAGTTCCCTTTAAAGTGATTATAAGATCGATACACCTTCAACAATCAAATATTTATGATTCTAGGTTTAAAATGTGTAACATTTATGTCTATATGCAAACCTCACACATGCAGAGATAGCAAAGCATGTGTGTATATGTATTACATATGCCATAGGACTAAAATACAACCTTAATTTGTTTTTGTTTGAGTCTTAAGAAAGACAAATATTTGTCGTTTGTTGTGTGTGATGCACGCGAGGTGTTAATAAACTGGCTTTTAAGAACCACTCAAATAATCCATCTAGGATACGTTGGTATAATCACGTGCTTCAAACTAAATGTGCTGAGATAAATTTTTAATTTATTTGCTGCAGGGTATTATGTGTAGTGCAAAAGTAGCCAAAGTGTATAGGCCTCTCCAACACAAACAATGCAAAGAAAAAAGAAAAAAAATAATTGCCCAAGACAAAAGAAGGTAAATCATTGCGGGAATATTTGTCCGTTTGCCAAGCCTGTGATGCACAACAATAAGTTGGTATATTTCATGTATGCAAGATATTAGGTGGAACGTTGCTGCATATAATCTCCAGTGATTTAGGTGTCTTTTAGCTGTTAGGAATGATTTTTTTTTATAATAGTTTAAATATAAATAGGTACCTAAATACTGGGTTCATCCCAATTTAGTTTGGATTAAAACAGAATAATGGAGAATTTGATGCAATTTACAGTTTCTTGAATCATCTCATTTTCCTTATATTAACAGAAAGTTCACTGCTTGATGAGCTAGAAATTTGTTGACTGTGTGTCAATCGTGAAATTCTTTGGATAGCTTCTAAAATTGTTCCAGTTTTATATCTCTGGAAGGGTTTAAAGACTAGACAAAATAACCTCCTAAAATATCTGGTTTTGATTGACTTAGTAATTTGGATAAGAAAAGACATTGCACTTGCCAATTACACAACTTCTTCATGACAATGATCCGGATGAATTAAAGTCATTCTCAATAACTACACACATTACACATATCAAATTATGACACGACTGTAAAATATATGGGCTTTGTATAGTATCCAATCAATACTTGCGAATCTTTTTTTTTTTCGTTATCCTCAGAGAGAGTCATTGATTCATTTTGTCTGATGTGATGTCCATGTATGAACATGAACTCTGTTTCAGAGACAGACCATTTCAATTATGATTCAACATAGCATCAAAAGAACATTGATGTTCTATTGATATTCTCCCACAGTGATTTTTTGGATTATTTTTCGGGAACGAGAACAGAATTAGTTTCTAGGTCTGTTCTCACAAGTCTCTGACAGTTTGCAAACTGTCAGAAACAATTACTCGGCTAAGCTACCGATTTACTTTTGAACGAAGACATTGAGGTATAAGGTAATACTCAATCCTTCCAAAATTAAATTAAATTTATTCTCTAGTACCTATCTGAATCTGATTAACGATTGAGTTTCAATCTTTGTAACCGAAATAATTTCTAAATTTTCTTTATACTTACAGGTAAAATTCTATCATATTTAGCACAAAGTTCCTTCTGCTTGTCCACGAAAAACTCCATCTTCATACACTGCTCTTTGTGCGCTGTGGGGGTCAAGTTCAAAGTGGTTGGCATCGTTGTCGGAAATCCTAACTGCCTACAACAAATTACTTTGTCTTAGAACAAATAAATTTCAATAAAACAGCAAAAAGAAAATATTCCCAAACAACACAGTACATTTTAAAAACGTCCATTTTAGGTCATATTTACGTACGTACGTCTTAAGACGAAAATAATATGTACTAAGTACGTACTGCTTGGTACATTCAATGTATGTAAGCTTCAGTCGTTCTCAGTACGTACATAGTAAGTACACAAAAAATGTTGTAAAAAAAAAAACAAAAATTAACACAAAAACTCGTGATGATAATCACCTATAAAATTATTTGAATCCTATTTTGCATCTACCTATATCTGGAAATGGTAATTCTAATTAGTGATCAACCGCAACCTATAAGTATTTTTCAAATTTCCGCCAGCAAAATGAATGATGATTGTGCAGCATTGCCAAATTTAATATGATTGCAAATAGAAGTTCAATGAAGGGTGAGTATTAATTATTAAACGTACCGTATATCTAAATAATTATCACGCCAAAATGCTGTTTTTATTTGTAGACATAATTTATCTTGATTGTTTAGATGCTTTGCACTTTTTAATTTTTCTTGAACAGAACACTGTGACCAAACAAGGTAATAAACAGAGGCTTTGGCAATGTCGCATTTCAACTGTCAAATCAACTTCATGTTCTCCCTCCATCCCAAGCCAAGTACAAAACGGCAGCCAGCCACTAGAAGACCGCCAAAGACCGCGTCCCGCGCCATTTTCTTTCTCCGCTCTCTAATTTCTCATGTTTCCTTATTTTATTCTACCGATTTCGGAATAGTGATTCGTGAAATTTGATTACTTTTTTGTGTTAATTTCTTTTATGTAAGAATAAGAATGACTTGGACTTGGGTGAGATCGATACCGAATCCCTAACGTAAATTGTCTACAAGAGTGCAGTTTATTCGGGTACATAAAAGAATACTAAACAAATAATAAGAATTTTTGATGCTTTGGTTTTGGCTGGCAAATTTTAGTTTGTCTGGCTAAGTGAATAAAGTGTGTTTTTAGAAATAAATGTGAAGTGAAAATGTGGAAAAATCAATGATATAATTGTTAATTTTTTATTTAATTCGTTCAATTGTGTCCATTTTGATAAAAATATGTAATCTAATAATGTGCAATGTACAATAAATAAATATCTTATTATTCTTTTAAATGAGTTAATTGAAATTATTTTAATTTTTAGACCCTGGCCGTGTTCGTTTTTCTCATCTTTTTCGTCCATTTGCTCCGAAATTTTGACAGCACGTGGTTTGTAAAGAAACTGTCTGATCCAATCACGTGCCTGTCAAAAATTCGGAGCAAATCGACGAAGAAGAATGACAAAAACGAACACGGCTCCTGTCAAATAAGATATGAAAAGTACGTTTTACATACGTCCATAAGACGTTCCAAATACTTCAATAATGTACGTAAATAAAACGTTTTATCCGGTGGAAATTGGACGTACTGTGTACGTACTTAGAATGTACAGTGAATTTTAGAGTACGTACATAAGACGTAAGTTACGTCGACGGTCGACGTATTATGTACGTACTTAAAACGTAAACTGGTTGTTTGGGTTTAGCATTGAAACCGTTTTGAAATCCAATCAAGTCCTCGTGTGTGTGGCTTTCAAACAAGGGCCCTTTTTTGCCTCTATCAAAACGATAATACCTTCACGATTACTTGTTTTCAAAGTGTAAATAAGCACAGCTGGTTTTGGACTGGACGCCCGAACGAGAGCCGATTCGATTGTGTTTTTTTAGTGCTTTTGCTTGGAGATTTCGATACCCTATTTTGGAATGAGGCTCTAGATACCTGGAGCGAAATCCTATAAGAAGAATTTTATTCCATTACCAAAGTGAATTTGAATTCATAAAATTTGTTCAGCAATTAGTTTGAAATAATTAATCGAATTTACATATTCAGTTCTAAGATGAAGATCTGCATAAGTTAAATAATATTGAAACGAAATTAGAATTATTTCCATTTTTTCCGTGGAGGTGATTAAAATCTATGATGGAAGAAAAATACCTACACACTTCTACTTTTAATCCACGAATTTTGGTCTATGGGAGTAGGTACCCTCAAAACCACTGCAAATTTTCAGCTGCCATCAAAGTGATCAAATAATGAGATTGAAATATCTTATTTTTTTATTTTTTTTTTATTTTTTAAATACACCTTACAAACACTTATAGGTAATAACAAGTAAGGGGGCTGCTAAAACTAAAACAATAACAAAAAATAGATGGAACAAAACAGATAAATAAATAATACCTACAAAAATAAACAAATAGGCTAGATTAGATGCCACACATAAATCACAGGAATTGGGCTCAAACATTATGGTGTGTATCATCCTCTAGTCAATTTTTTTATTGAGGCAAGAGTTGTGTTGAAAATATCTATGTTACACTTCTCTAAGATATCGCTACATTTTATCGGGATATATGACTCAGCTCTAAGATCAATTTCAGGAATATAAAATTTGATTAGATTAATAAATTCACAGTCTGTATATTTATTGACTGCCTATATAGAAAATAAAAAGTCAGGATTGAACTGCCCTTCTCCTACTACTAAGATACTGAAGCTTGAAGGTCTCCAACATACTTCCATATGACACTAGCAGAGGAAATATAGGATATACATGATATTGTTTGAAATACAAATATCTCAAACATTTCTTTTGGACTCTTTCTATCAAGTCTCTAGTGCAGTCAGCTGTAGGTGACCAGATAATACATGCATACTCCAGGCCCGACAAAGGCATTATAGTAGAGCTTTATCAAGGTATTAATTCTATGAAAATGTTTGGTATTTCTAATGATGGCCCTAACACAACAATTTTCTGATAGTGCAAATCAAATTTCATGTTTGATTGAAAAGTGACTCCCAGGTTCTCACAGTGGTCCCTTCTTGGAGCATTTCAGTATCCAAAAGCCACACAGAAGCATTTACTGATAGGTATTCAAAAACATTTTGTTGTCGGCAAACCAGGCACTGACAATGGATAAATCGTTCTGGAGAACCTGGCAAATCTGCCTGCGAAGAGACCACTCTGAAGATCTTGAAGTCATCAGCAAACAACAATCAGAATTTCCAATACAGTCAGGTAAGTCATTTATGAATATTGTAAAGAGTAGGGGAGATAAATTGCTGCCCTAAGGAACACCAGAGCTGCCAAAATAGTGCTCAGATAGTTCCATGCCAATGCGAATAGAGTAGGGCCTATATGACAAATGAGACTTGATGAGGTTAAAAAAAAATTCAATGAATCCTGTGAGAATCAATTTTTGGAGAATTAGGTGGTGATAAACCTCATCGAACGCCTTTTCTGCATCAGCGTAGATTACATCCAACTGCAAACAACTATCGATCGCAGCAGAGCCTGCATTTTCAAACTCACACAGGTTGGATACTGTGGATCTGCCAGGGATAAAGCCATGCTGCCTAACAATATGATGCTCAAACAATTTAGACAAGTGATTACACAATATAATTTCAAAAATTTTAGCAATGGGGTTAAGAATACTGATACTTTTCAACATCCGTTGTTTTATGAATTGGAATAACAACAGATTTCTTGAATACTTCCGGAGAGGCACCAGTGTTTATGGCACAGTTGAAAATATGGGCGAATGGATTTGCCAATACATCAGCACACCCCTTGAAGATGTATGCAGGTATATTATTGAGACACATATTAATGAATGTAACACATATAGTCTAGGGCCAATAGACCTTCTTCTTCTTCTTCTTTAGCCTATTATCATCTATATTTCGATATAGATCTCTCTCGGACTCTATTTTGAGTCACTAGTATCCAGTGTATGTAATTCTCTATTTCCATATCATCCGTATTCTGCTGATGCAAAATTTCATTTTTGATGGGTAATTTTTGATGCTACATCCTGCAATGTGGTTGTCGCCCTTATCAAACTGTATCTCTTTCTCGTCGGAGAGTCTTATATACAGCATTATCCTTACCTTGGTCCAGGTGAAGTGGAATCTAGCTTTGTCCGAGGAATTTTCAATGTCGACTCTCGACTCTTCTTTCTTCTTTGGCGTTATTTGTCATCAATTAGGTACTGTATTCTAATTATTCATCTTCAGGCCCATTTATTCCGATGCTCTTGCCAATCAACTGTAACTCTCCGAAACTGTTGAAAATTAGTACGATGTCGTCGGCGAACTGTAGATGATTTAGCCATTTGCTCAATCTAGTTTCTTGACTACATCTTCCATTGCCAGAGTGAAAAGTTTTGGGGATGTGATATCCCAACTCCGTCTATGTCATCTCCTGATTAGAATGGATTTAATGTTCTCTTCTAACAGTACTGTTATAAATAAGCAGAGTCTATCGTGTCAATTCGAGAGGTAATAATGCTTTTTCTATGGCTTTTAACAAAAAAAAGAAACTAATGTTGGTTATTTTGCGATCTTGGTAAATCGTAAAAATGCTGACTTTTAGAAGTAAATGGAATCTGAGATGAGCATTTTCTCGAAGATGGGCATAATATTACTAACCGTCCAGATTTCAGGATAAATGGAGTGATTTATTGTATAAAATTTGTAAAGGTGACACGATAGTGCATACACATTGTTCTAATACAAAATCTGGTATACCATCACGACCAGAAGTTAGTTTATTTGGAAGTTCAGAGATTGCATTGAAGATGTCAATCTTTGAGATCTCAGCACTGTATGTTATTACATTACTTATATTATTGTCATGAGTATCGGGTGTTTGGTGTTGTAAATGTTGATTTTATGAGTGAATTGTTTGAAAGAATTCTTTAAATAGGTTAGCTATATATCTTGACCAATAAATGCTGACTGATTTCCATATGACAAAGTACTGTGCAAATTATGACATGATGTTTTGTCAATAATATACCTCCAAAAAGATTTTAGGTCATCTCTGAGAAATGAATCCAAACCTCCATATAATTTTGAAAGCACATGTCAGAAAGTTTTTTGCAGTCTGAACGTAACTGAGAA